AGTCTCCACAGTATGACACACCTGTGGAGGCACTTGACACTGCTGTTCTCACCAGAAAGTCAGCCTAGAACACCAGATAATCACCTCATTGCTATGATTAATATCATACAAACTCAAAGCTATATGCCTACTGGAGATGAGAGTACCTGGCATCTATCAAAGGCCTTAGACAGACCCTCTGGGAAGTATCCCTGACTGCTGATCACAACTGTGACCCTCTTCAACCAGAAGTAGCTAGAACAGTCTTCACCCCTTCCCCCTCACGGCAGTTTGGGTTATGTCTCCAAAGAGAGGACAGTTAGAAATATTATAGACAGTCAGGCAGAATTAGGCCCTAGAAAGGAGCCAGTACAGATACATTACAACTGTGGGTGAAGGTGAGAGAGAAAACTTGGGGTAAAATTGGGCAACTATGGGTTAACCATACAGCTAAGCTCCCTGAGGAAACTGATGGTTACAACTCCAGCTGTGCACAGGAACAGCTATAACACAATGTCAGAAGAGCATATGGAGTTGACTGTCCCTGGTCACCCCTAACAGCTGCTTCACTCCTGCTTCTGTAAGCACACCTGACAACAGCTCCCCAATACGAGACTGCCCTGTAAAATAAAAACGGTATAAAAGTAAAAAGCAAGATCCTCTCCAGGCTCTCAAGGAGACACAAGTCCCTTGTGAAGTCACCCTTCCCCCCTGCTCCATGTCTAGGTGATTTATTAGGATTCCCATTTATCCGCTGTTTCAAAGGCACAGTCGTTAAAGATGAGACCTCAAGGCAAAAGACAGAATGACACAGCTACGTACTTCACCTAGGGGTGAATAGCAGTGATTGATATTCAGTTGCTGCCATTACAAAAACAAAAAGGAGATGTAGGAGACCAGATAACCAGTACCAAGGCCTAACTGATCTCCTCTACAAGCACAAAGGAGAAAGGCAAGTTGTGCTACTTTGGTGGTACCAAAGGATGCAGCACGTTGCAAGTTCCAGGGAAAAGTCAACACAGCTGAGATGCAGCTGTTTACCGGAGCATGTACTCTAGATAAAGGGAGACAGCTGAATCTTGTGCTATTTTAATTGCTTGCTCCCATATCTGGTTAAATAAGGGAGGTGAGCCAAATGCTCAGAACTCTGCCACTAGAGACAAGAGCCCCTAGCCCCTCTTTCTAAATTAATTCTGAGTCTTTTTGTTTTTCATCCTCATTCATCTCCTGGTCACAGACAAACTCTTAGGCTGGTTTCCTATAAGTAGAGATTTGGAAAGAGACTGAGAGCCAGGACCTTTTTTCTCTCGGCTCATACATGACTACCTATCTCAGCTAGCAAAAGAGTCTGAGCATCCTTTGCCAACCACAGAAGACCTGACTGTGAAGGAATAGGTCTTGACCCATTTGGGAATAAATCTGGTTAAATTGACTTTGTCCTGCTAGAAGAGGATCAACTGCTAGAGATCGAAAATTATAATGGCCTTAAAAGTACGTTTGTGGCACACACCTATAAGCCCAGCACTCATGAGGCTGAGGCAGGAGGATCACTGCAAATTTTGGGCCAACCTGGGCTACACTGTGAGTTCAAGCCCAACCTGAATTGAACTACACAGCAAAACCCTGTCTTGAAAGAAACAAAAAGAGAAAGAGGAAAAAATAAAGAGAGAGAGAGAATGTTTGTGACAGGTGTGATGCCACAAGCCTGTAATCCCAGCACTCAGGAGGCTGAGGCAGGACTGCCATGAATCTGAGGCCAGCTTGAGCTACACAAGAAGTTCAAGGTTGACTTGAATTACACAATGAAGCCTTACCTCAAAAAAATTAGAAAAATAATACATTTGAGACAGCTTTGAATCTCCATAAATTCTGGGTTAAAGCCAAGATGGAACATCCAGAGATTACTACAAAAGCAATGAAAATCCTGTTTCCATTTCCAACATCCTATCTTGTGAAGCAGCTTTCTGCAGTGACAGCAATCAAAACCAATACCGTGTAGTAGCCTGGACATATGCAAGACATTTTGCAAGTCATGTCTCCCATTACCTCCAGACAGAACAATCTAGTTGCAACAAGCTCAGAGCTTCCACTGCTTCTGCATTACGGATTATTTCATTATATATTACAATACAATAATAATAATAACAAAAGTGCACAATAAATATAATGTGCTTGAATCATCTGAAATCACATTCCCTATTTATGGAGAAACTGTTCCACAAAACTGATCTCTGATATCAAAAGCTTGGGGACTGTTGCTTTAAATCATCTCTCAACAACTTACAATGCCTAGTGAATAATGCTATATGAATAATTATACCGCATTATTTAGAGAATCAGGACGGGAAAAGGTCTTCACATTTGAGTACGATTTCAATTTTTTTTCAGTCTGTGGCTGGTGAGCTATGCAGATAAGAGAAACTACAGATATAACAAGCCAACTGTATGTTGGTAAAATTATTTTTTTACATTTCTTTTCTATTTTCTATTTCTTTTTATGTGCTGTGGCTACCAAACAGGTTTTATTTTTCCTTTTTTCCTCACTATACTGAGGACAGAACTCAAGGCCTCACACATACTATGTAAATACTATAGTACTGGCTACACCCCCAACCCAGCATTTTACATTACAGGTGTGACACATGATATTCCATAGGACAACACCAGGAACCTGCAGCTCAAGGGACCCATGGGGCAAAAAAAAAACCTTAAAAGGTTCTCAGGCCAACGATTGATATATCTTAAACCCAGAGATTTTGACACAAGAAGGAGAGCTACCGCATAAGAAAAATACATAGTGTTATATGTTGATGTTGTTGTTAAAGAAAAATCCCTTTTGGAAACAGGATACTAAAGTGTATCAACAGAGTAGCGGTAGAAAAAACAGACAGTTAGTTAACAAGGGTCATCTTGACCTGTCCTCGAAATGCTCCAGTTTTTCCCAGCTGCATGGCCTATGGGGGAGGAGAAACACAGGAACACTCACACACACACACACACACACACACACAAAACCAGGTAACCCTCCCACCCACAGGCTGCACCTCTTGGTTCAGGTCTATAACAGGCCTGGCTCCCACTACCTCTGGGCAGTGAACCCCTGTCATTGCTGGAAGTCTGTGATGAGACACTGACCCTTACATTCTGCCTTGAGGTTCCACAGCTTCTTCCTCATGAGTTCAGAGTCAACTACCCTCTGGGAAGCACCCACTCCTAAGCCAGGGGTCTTCCCATCTTTGATGTACTAGGGTACAAAACATGAATCATTGCCTTGAACTTGTGGGTCTGCAGATGCTAATTCCTATCAGTACTGGAAGATTCTAAGGACTGAGGTGGATAAAACATCCTCCCACGAGAGGGCTGCAGGATGGCTCCAGGGGCTGGCAATAACCTGTCTTATGCTAGGTGGTCACAGCAAACATAGGAGCTGTATACATATGATCTGCCATCCAGCTGAATGGATTCTATGCTTCAAGGAAAAGTTTACTAAAATAAGAAAACTAACCTCTTCCACCTTCTGCTACCCACCCACCCTGACCAATTGTTCTGCTCACCATCAGGCCCTCAAGGCCTATACACCTGCTTCCTTCAACCAGGAAATCTCCCTACTGGAGTAGCTCAGGAACTTCCCTTACAAACCCTCCCACCAGCTACTAAAATCTACTCTTATATATCGATCAGCACTTCTGCTTCCCCCTCACACACACTCCCCTCCATTGGTACTGGAATTAAACTCAAGGTTTCTCACTGAGCTACACATCCAGCCATATTTATATATTTAGAGATGCACTCTTGTTAAATTCCCAGGCTGGGCTCCAACTTGCCATCTTCCTGCCTCAGTCTCCCAAGGATGGGATTACAGAGCTGACTCCAGAGTTTCTTGTTCCCAGTCCAACATCTTCACAAAATGTCAGCTCAGCACTAGTAGCCCCTCAACTGTCCAGCACCAAGCCCCTTGCAAATAATGGCTGTATCATGAGAAATGAATAAAGAGAACAAATGAACTGGATTGGAGGTTACTTCAAGCAGAGATACTGCATAGCTGATGGACTAACAGTTAGGCATGGTGGTGCATTCCTGTAATCCCAGCATTTGGGAGGCTAAGAGGTAGGAAGATCACCAGAAGTTTGAGGCCACAGTGGGCTATATAGTGAGACTCTATCTCAGAGGGAGAGACAGAGACAGATTGGGTAAAAAAAAAAAAAAAAAAAATGCATGAGAAACCTAAGAGGTATCCTTGATAGAAGGTAAAATGCAGGAATTGGGAACCCAGGGAGATGCTGAGAAATGTAAACTCTCCAGCCCATGACTCGGCTGTCGGCCAAACTGTGTTGCCTGACACCAGGTTCATCCTGCCATCCCAACCCGATATCTTTCACTCTCCTGACTCCGGAGAAAGGAGTTGGCAGTAGCCTCCTGAGTAGGAGTAGAAGAGCCAGGGTTCTGCCCTGCCACAGAGATAGGATAGGAGCGTGGGACCTGACGGTTCCCACACATGCACCAGCTCTCACTGTCCACACAGCATGATGCTTCCTTACACGTGCACACACTCAATCACACACTCTCATACTCCCAGATACACTCTCAGCGTAACTCTGACCATACAATCCTAGAAATTCAACAATGCCAAAATCTCACGTGCAAAATGCCATATACACATAATCCCAGAGACTCATATGCAAAATCTGAGATTCGCACACTCTCAGAGAATCTCGGAGACAAAAGTCTCTGAGACAATATGATTCATGTCTCCCCAGAGACACGCACAATTCTCCGGACTCATTTCAGAGACTCACGTGCACACACAGACCCCAAAACCCGCCACCCCCAGACATGCACAGCCTAGGGTTTTATTCACTCGCCAACACTCGCGCACCGGCCGCAGCCCCGCATCTGTCGCCCCGCCCTGTTGCCTGATAACAGGGTGACCCCGCCCACTAGGTGTCGGAAGCAGAGCCACCAGCACACAGGGGTCTTCCAGTCCCTTTCAGATGTCCACGGCTGTCCAGGACGATCAGTACCTTTTTATAGTTGATATTGCCCAGGCCTCTACAGCAGTCGGGCCCCGAAGCAACGCTATTCATAGCCTCGGCTCCCTGGCCCGCAGTTCCTTTCACCTGGCGGGATGCCGCCGGAGGGACCACGCGGGGGCTTCGCGCAGCCACTCACCCCTGGAGGAGGCCCCAAAGTCGCTGGGGAATCGCTGCCGGCCGGAGCGCTTTCCTGGTGCCCCCGGGTTCTTTGGCCTTCTGGGAAGTGTAGTTCCCGGTCTCCGTCTTGCCCGGCTTCTCGGTGACACGAGAACTACAAGCCCCAGGGTCGGTAGTGGCAGAGCCTAGGGAGATGCTGAGAAATGTAAACTCTTCAGCCGGTTCTTGAGACCTCAAGCGGTGGTGTCTCTGATCCCAAGCACCTACACCCGAACCCCCAACTGACCTGGCCTCTGTCTTTGCTTGGTGGCGGTAGGACTAGTGTAAGTAAGTATAAATAAGTAACTTCCTGCGCAGCTCTCCCCCCCACTCCACCCCTGCAGACTGGGACTTTTGGCGGACTTCAGTCCGCTCTGAGATTCGCTTTTTCCCTGAGGCGGTGCAGGCAGGAACAGTAGCTGCTTCTCCAGACGCCGCCCCCGCTTCCCCCAAGGGCTCTTGGCTATTTATTCTCTACCAGAGACTCCCTTTCCACTCCTTCGTTTCTTCATTCATTCCCACATTCACTCCCGGATGTTTTCTGAACATAATCTGCGCGCTGATTTTGCGGAGAGCAACGCAGGATCCCTGTCCTGTCTCCAAATGAAGATAAGAAACAAAACACAGAACATAATGTGCATAAGTAATTTTACGCTTTGAAGTCCTCGAAATTCAGGAACTTCGTAGAGAGGAGCTGCATTCATTCTACGTTGCCTGAGGAAGTTTATTCTTGATCCAAAGTCTTTGCCTGTAATTCCAGTACCTTGGGAGACTGAGACGATGATTACCACAAATTTGAAACCAGTCCGGACTACAGAGTTAAAACCCATCCTAAACTACATAGACTCTGTTTCAGAAAACAACAAAAACAATTCTTATTAATGTGGCTAATCACCCAACTCTCTGCGGCCCTTTCCCTAGCTTGCCACATATGCATACGCTAACTAAACTGTCCTTTACATAATGGTGCCTTTATCAGGTCTTAGAGAACTGCTTTTGTAGCCAGGTGTTGTGTACATGGGGAAATAGTAATTCCAAGATTTGCTTAGTTTCCCAGCCATCAGGAAACCAAGCAAGACTTCTATCCCCGATTCTGCTTGGGGTCAAGCAACTTGGCCCACAGAGCATCTGCTGAGCAGCAACTGTGCACTCAGTTATGAGTTGACTGCTTTACAAATGGTCATAACCTCCCAGCATCATTTAGGTGAGGTAGGCACAGTGGAACTCCACTGTGAGGAAAACAAAGCTTTTGTAAATTAGAGGAAGAGGGGTTGAAGGGAAGGTAATAGAATGGGGTGGGGTGGGGGGACAATTAAGATATGTACAGATACAAATTCCCTATGATGCATCTGATCATTATGTATATCTAAAATATACCAATAAATTAGAGACTTCCCAAAAAAATGGCCTCCCACAGAGCTGAGTACACAGGGATGAAGGGCTTGTTTTCTAAATGGCCAATTACAAAGATCAGGAACTGTCCTGTGCAGGATCTCAAGCTGGCCTGTTGGGGTGCAAGCCATTTCTGAGGAGCCTTTCGCAGCAGGGCTTCTGACAGACATCTCCCTCACCCCTACCACGTGTCCACTGAAGCCCCAGCCTCCTGACCCACCTGGAAATTCTTGTTTGTTTGAAGCCTCGAAAAAGAATTTCTGTGTCTTTGCCTTATCTGGGAATAAAGAAAGGTAACCATTTAGAGGTCACTTCAGGACTGATGCAATCCATGTCACTCCACCCCCAACACTCTCCCTCAGTAAAAGCAAACACCTTGCCTGGAAGCCAGACTTACAGCTTGAAATGTGGTTGGAGTTACACAGATCAAAAACCTGACGCAGATATTTTCATGCAGAAGTCCTTGCTTGAGCCCTCTGGGTTTTCCCCTCCTAGACAGGATCTCACCATGTAGTAGTTCTGACTGGTCTTGAACTTACTCCGCAGTCCAAGCTGACACACCCTTGCAGCTGTGATAGCTCCGACCCCGGAATAAAATCCAAGAAAGCAAGAAATTAAATTTGATGAGCAAAGGCTTTATTTAGGCCAGGCCTGGCGACGAGTCTCTGGAAGCCAATTTGGAGACTGCGCGCCTTACAACTAGAAAGGTTGGGTTTTAAAGCCGAAAACCACAGGAATGTTGTAATCGCTGACACAGTTAGGTAGCATCTGGGCTTTATAGAACTTCCTGTAATTTCCTTGAAGTTAAGCATTTCTTAAAGAACAGCACATTTTATTACAGATAGCCGGATGAGGGGTAGGGAAGGGGGTTACAGGAAACGGACACCTAAGGCTTTTACAGCTTTCTCAGGAAACTGAAACTTAGCATAGGTAGGAAGGGGAAAGAGGAGGGGGAGGCAGTAAGATGCATACAGAACAGAAAATGAGGCGCATTGGTTAAGACTAGGTCACAACAGCAGCAATCCTCCTGCTTCAGCCTCCTGAGTGCTGGAATTAGAGGCATAGGGCACCACATCCAGCTAACTGGGCCCTCTGAAGGCTTGCAGAAAAATCCCTCCTTCACTGGCCTATTTCTACCCCAGCCTCCCTGGCAAATGGAAAACACACATCTGTTTACATGCCCCCAAGTAATAGGAGGCTCATGACCTCAGAGGTGGCTTTCTCTCTTGGACAGGATGGATGGACGGACGGACGGACGGACGGACGGACGGATGGATGAATGGATGGATGGATGGATGGATTTTTGAATCAGGGTCCCAATATGTAGTTCAGGTTGGCTTGGAACATGATGATCTTCCTACCTCAGCCTCCTGAGAGCTGTGATTATACCTATGCGCCACCACGCCCAGCTCTTAGGAATAAGGTTTATCCCTGAAACCTACTTACCCAAACCCCTTTCCTTAAGTTTTAACAGACAGATCTCCTTTCTTCCCTTGGAATTATCTTTCTGCCCTTGATAGCTCTTCAGAAAGAAGCCATTTTTCAGGGAGCAACCACCCCAGTCTGCTCAGCAGCACATCTCCCGCTACTGGTTTGCCTTTGCTGCCCCGGGAAATGGGTTTAGCTCCCTGTGCTCTCAATAGGCACTAAAATAGGTTTTTTGTTACTGTCGACATTCATTGATTGGATGATTTGGGGTAAAATATAAAGCTTTTCCTGCTCAGAATCTATTCTCCATCCATGAAATAGGTATCTGAATGCCTCCTAGTGTACCTGCCCAGGAGCCAGTGGGCAGATTCAGCAGGAGCTGGCATGGGCACTGGGCAGGACAGAGGTGAATTCCCTCCCTGGCCTCTTTTTCCATAGGCTTGGGAAGAAGCCCTCTCTTCAGTGACACCCTTCATGCTGACAGCAAGGTGCAGAGCGAGGTCGCCTGAGTCCCATTTCCCACTGTGCCAGTCAGTCCCAAGAACCCCACAGAACCTCAGTATGGGCCTGCAGCATCACATGCACAAAGCCCTGATTTCTGCTGGCCTCTGGTCAGCTCTTGGAACAGCTAGGCACACACTTCCCTAAGGGCATCTACAGCTCCTGTCCCTGTCCCTGCTCTTCCCTGCACATCCTCCCAGCTCCTTTCTTCAACTCCTCAGCATTCTGCTCAGTGCCGCCTTTCATCTCGTTGACCATGCTGATCCTCCTACACCCTCACACCTCCACCTTTCCCAATTTTATTTCTCTGGACAACCCTTATTGCCATGTAGCAAATCTGTTTGTTTGTTTATTCGCTTTGTGTAGCATCAGCCTCCCCCAGAAGAAGGTAAGCTTCATGAGTGCAGGGATTTTTAGTGGTGTGTGCACAGCTCTCTCCTGGGCACGTGGATTAGTGCTTTGCATGAAGCAAGCACTCAGTGAGCAAGAGTTGAGTGACCTTGGGCAAGTCCCTTTGGTGAGCCTCAGTAATATTATTTGTGGAATGGGGAGCAGAATGGAGTCTGCCACCCAAGCAGGAGATCAAACCCATTTTTTTTTTTTTGAGACAGGGTCTTACTGTATAGCCCAGGCTGACCTTAAACTCATAGCAATCCACCTGCTTTAGCTTTCCAAGTGCTGGGATGATAGACATGTGCCTGCATACTTGGCTCAAACCCACTTCTTGCCGTTGAAGTCTTTGCCCACATTTCCTGGCTGTATGATCTAGGGAAAATGACTTGTCCTCTCTGATTCTCAGTTGAAGAGAAAATCATAGCCATGAAACAATAACTAACTTGTTTGAGGTCTTACTGGCTGCAGTTCCTGAGCTCTGCACAGATTCTAGGCTGTCTGTTTTCTTTTTCTTTTTTTTTTTTCTTTTTTTTTTTTTTTTTTTTTTTTTTTTTTTCTGGTACCGGGGATCGAACTCACGACCTCCTGCTTGCAAGGCAGGTGCTTATGCCACTGAGCTAAATCCCCAGCCCCAGCTGTCTGTTTTCTTCAAGCCTTAAAGCAGCCCCAGGCGGCAAGGATGTTACTCTGGCTTTGAGGAGGAGGAAACTGACTGAATGCCAGGAACTCCTCCAGCCTCACAGCAGAGTGAGTGGCAGGCTAAAACATGGAAACTCAGTCCTGCCTCCCTAGGTCTGCATATGACCCTGTGACAAGCCAACCCTTAGTTGACACTCAAAACCCACCTTGTTTCTACCATTTTTCTGCTTCTTTACATTGCGTCCTCCCTCAAGTTCAAGTTATAGCCCCATTTTTGAGAAACGTGGCTAGTCTTCTAAGGATGAAGGCAAAATATAGTTCCTCACCACACCCTGTCTTTCCAGGTCCTTTTGCTGTCTGAGCCAGCCACCATCCTGCTCACAGGCCTCTGCTCCGTTCCTTCCAGCCACAAGTCCTTTGTATCTCCTGTCACTTCTGCTGGAAACATGCTTCCCTTCTGTTTCGAAGAGCAAGAACAGTGTCTACCTTGCCAGCCATAGCCCCTACATGCCTAGTAGTACTACCCTGGCAGTTTAGTGAAACCCTATCTCAAAATTTTAAAAGGTTAGGGATATAGCTCTGTGGTAGAGCACCCCTGGGTTCAATCCCGTAGTACCGGAAAAAAGAAAAAAGTTATCCCCAGTATGGTGGCACATGCCTATAATCT